CAGTTTGAAATGGAAATTGGAATGTAGAAATGTGAAATTGGAAAGTGAGGTGGAATTGCACAAAGGCATATTCGTGAATCTGCTGAGTTCCAAATACAGTCTTCCTTGCCCTCCTTGTAGAGTAAAGACACATTTCCTCCTGGCAGATGAGATTAATCATCAGACTCAACTCAGTGACCATGTTTTCTGTCAGTTGATTTTTCTCGGTCATATTGAGCCCAAAATGGTCAGAAGGAAATTTTAGCTCCCAATTCAGAGGCACATAATTACCACTATGTTCTCTGTAGGAGAGAATTCTCCTTTAGGCATTAAGACTTCTAAACCCACCACGCTCATTATCATGAGGACAAAATCCAAAATGTGTCCAGAGGGTTATTAACTGATAGTGAAAGGGAACACTGCACTTCCACCCCTGAGTTCCTAGACCTGTGCTTTCCTGGCTGTGCAGGAGGGACACATGCATGTTGTATGATGACATCCCAACTACAAGGTCATTGTCAAATAAATAGTGCCAAGACCCAGATGGCGCATGCTATGTCACTCCTCTATAAGCCAGGTCCATACAGCCAATTGGGAACATGATGAGAACAGTGAATTCCATCGCCCTTCTTTTTTGCTATAAAATATTGCTTGTTTGGAAGTGACATAGTAATGAATGTTATTCTGTAAGTCCACGGATAGTAGTGCTGATAGAACTGCAGGCAGCAAAGGCATATCCACACCTAGAATATGTACCTGTGTCTATAATGACAAAACACTACCCTTCTCGATGGAATGGCTCCCATGTAAGCCACCTGCCAACAGGAACTGCTGGGAAATAATGCCATATCAACAGTTTAGTGACAACCACTGTTATTGGCAGATAATGGTGGGAGCCAGAGGCAAACTGACGTTCACCTTGCCCATTGGGTTATTGAGAGCACCCCTGCTGTGAATGTGCTCTGGTGAATATTAAACGGAATATTAAACGGAATGTCTTCACATTTTTTACATTGTTGCCCCTTCTGATAAATCTGTGCACTTATTGCCCCAGCTGGTTTGGCTCAGTGGATAAAGTGTTGGCCTGAGGACTGAAGGGTCCCAGGTTTGATTCTGGTCAAGGGCACATGCCTGGGTTGCCGGCTCAATCCCCAGTAGGGGGCGTGCAGGAGGCAACCAATCAGTCATTGTCTCCCATCATTGATGTTTCTGTCTCTCTCTCCTGCTCCCTTCCTCTCTGAAATCAATAAAAATATATCTAAACAAAAATATGTGCACTCATTTTTCCCCTAAACTTTCTTTTCACTAATTTTCTAATGTTATTCTTCTTGTCTGGTGGCCATTTATTAGTTATTGTACATGAGTCAGGGATCCATGTTTCAAGCCAAGTCTCCTTCCACACGGAGTGGAAAACTAAATATCTTTGCAAAAGTCTGCCAGCTCAGAGGATTTATGTTACTATAGTGTTGTAATGCCATTCCTGAATCAGATTGTAGTCCAGGGCCTACCCAATTCCAGCGTGTTCAAGCACATTGTGTAAACCTGCCTGTTAACCAGACCTGCATTTATTACTCTTCTGCCAACTTTTGTTAGAAATTCATCTTGAGGCATAGATGTGAGATAACATAGGAGGAAAAAGCAGAGGGTGCAGTACCATGAGCAGTTGACTTATGTGTTCTGGACTAATCCCATATACCAGGAGGCTGCTTTTTTTTTTTTTTTTTTTTTTTTTTTTTTAGTGGAATGTTGCTGTTGTGTTTAGTTTTATGGTCAGTGAATCAGATAACAGTCAGTTCATGATGGGCATTTGGGTTGCATAGTCACTCGCTGTCCCATGGTCAGGCTAATTGCTTCTGCCAGAGCCAAGTAAAGAGCTGCTTTAGAAATAAATAAAGACTATTTATCAGCACAGGAGAAAGGGCCTTTCTGTGAAGCTTGTATTGCCTGTGCTTTGATCGTCGTCTGGCGAGTGTCAGAAGCTCCACAGCATCTCCATTCGCCATGGACACTTGCATTGCCATTGTGCCTGCTGGGCCACAAGGTAAAGGTGGTGGGGAAGGTTGTGCCATGGCCTTGATCTGCTGCACAGCTCTCACTTGCTCAAGTCCTACTCAGAACTGGCACCTTTACAGTTTACCTGGGAAATAGAACAAGGCAGCACCTGTGAATATAGTCCATATTTTCTTCAAAATCCAGAGTCCAGTCTCTCTTTACTTTTGTACAATTTCAACCAATTTTCTCTCACTGTAGAAGAGATAGACCAATATACCCCAGGCTACTAGATCTCCGACTATTCCCTAAGGATGCAGACGCTTAAACTTTACAGGGTTTCCTCTTCACTGCACCTTTATGCCTTTATAGTTAGAGGTTGCCTCTGTTAACAGACTTGTGGGAATTTGAGGTTCAAAATCTTCATCCATAAAATTAGATACATAGAGCAGCATTCCACTATGAAATCTGTTCTTTCTGAGACTGGCTCAGAAAGCACAAGTATACTGCACATGTTTATACAAAAATCCTTATCCTATGTGTCAGGGGCCCAGCACTTCTCTACCATTATCTGTATCTTAATTTTAAAACACAAGTGCATTTGAACCCCTGATTTGTGTTGCCTTTTTCAACCCTTACTGTTGGCGTAGGTAGGTAGTTAGTATTAATGAAGGAAGGGAGCGAGTAGAACTAGATACTAAACTTGATAAGCTGGGAGGTTGAATCAGATATCGGGCCTGCTTCACTAGGAAATTACAGCACTCTGTTAAACTTGATTTACCAGGAAGCTGTAGCATTCACAGACTCATTCACACACTCTAAGCCTTAAAGTCTAAGGGATCACCGTATTCTCCATGGAAGGTATTTAATCCTTGAGGCAAGCAGGAAGAGTCTCCTCAGGGTGCAACCTGCCCAGTACCAACTGGCAGGGAACCAGGATTATGGGAGGTGGTAGAAGAGGAAATTTTTTAGCTGAGCACATGCCCAGTAGTAGACAAGATGATGCAGAAGGAGGTGCTTTTACTTTGAGGCATGCCAGTAGATGCCAAAATGGCAACAAGAAGGGATGAAGCCTAGCCTGAGAAAGGGATTGGGTTGGATGAGGGCACAGAACCCCAAAAGGTCTAGGAAAGAGATTGGTTAGGGGGAGGGACCCAACTCATACCCTGGGAAAATCAGGAGCTAGGTTGGATGGTTTTGGTTTTGAATGACAGCTTTCTACTTACTGAGAACCACGAAAATATATGGAGAATTATCAGGAATCTGAGGCATCTGCTGCTAGAGCCTTCACACCCTCTTCATCCCCAGCATTTCCCCTTCATTCCAATAAATCTTACCACTACATTTACTGGTAAACGTCCTCCATGCATATGTTCTTTGACATTCTTTTCTCAAGACATTACAAAAGACTCCATTTTCACTGGCAACATTAATATGATCTCTTGAACCTCAGCCTGCAACTACAAAAGAGAGGGGCTCCTTCAAACATGCCATTGTGACCTTTTGTGTATTCCTAATTTTGCAGTCATAGATTTAGTTTTTGTTTTTTCCTATGTAATGACTCTCAGAAGTCATAAGAACCAGGGAAACTTTACAACCTTTACAATTGCCACTGCTGTAGCAACGAAGTCACAACCTTTTGTCCTCTCAATGCCTTTCCTCTCTATTTGCACTTCACTCCACATCATTACCAGTGACAATTGATTACTCATGCTTCCGTTCCTTACTATGGATTATCTATGCTACAATTCTCCCTGGAAATGGTATTATTAAATCAAAGATATACATATAGTTATAGAGGTGGATATATCTCCAACCTAATCTCAAAATCTAATTTTGAAGATCTCTTTCCTGAGTCTACCGCTGCTATTAATTACTACATCAGTCAGGGTCCCAAGAGGAAAGAGGTGGCACTTTCAATAATTTGAAGAGGATTTATGTACAAAGAGACCATTTACAAAGTGAAAGTGTAGGGAGATATAAAGGACGGAGACACAATTTAACTAGCAGCAGCCTATGACTATAGAGATGAGCCATTACCAAGTACAACAGCAGAAAACTGTGGAGAGGCGGCTGCATTGACAAGAGGAGTGAGATCATTTAAAACACAGCAAGCCTAAGGTGACATATCCAGACAGAGCTAAAGGAGTAAATACTCTGACTTTCTGCTCCTCTGAGCTCTTGCTCAAGAACCGTAATGGCCGTATTCTAGAGGGCATGGGAATCCCATTGATGTGCTTCATACAGCTTAATTTTCTGGGCCAGAAAGCAGGTATAGAAAAGAAGATAGTGAATCTGGAGTCACACAAAAGATATCCAGTATATTTCTTATTCATATTATATGAATATATATATATATATATATATATATATATATATATATATATATTGATTTTTAGAGGGAGAGGAAGAAAGAGGGAGAGAGAGACACATCGATGTGAGAACAAAACATTGATTAGCTGCCCTCTGCACAGCCCCTATCAGGGATAGAGCCTGCAAACCAGGCATGTACCCTGACTGGAATCAAACTGGCAACCTTTTGGGGCACAGGATGATGCCCAGCCAACTGAGTGACCCTGGTCAGGGCCAGTGTATTTCTCATTCTATTTCCTTAAGCCTTCAATAGTTTAATGAATCTAGTAGTTATTCAACTTGTTTAATGATGAGAAGATGGAAATATGACCACATGCATATATGACTGAACGGTGATATGAATATGGTTTTAGGCCATATTTTAGTCTTTGAAAACGTCCTCATTCTTTTCATTCTGATAGTCCTTTCATTGTCTCTGTTCACATTGCTGGCAACCCACGACAACCTGACCTTATTGCTTCCTGCCTTCCTTTCTTTGCGTCTGCTTTTCGTGGGATCAAAGGGGTAACTCAGAAATTGAGGATGCGTTATGAAGTTGATAAAGTCCAACACAAGGATAGAAAATGGACATGTGCAATGGAGATTTCAAGGACAGATGTTTGTGGGTGACTGAGCCCACATCTCTACAGTTGGTTTCAAATAACACTCATTTATTCTAGAAGAACTTCTGCATTCGCACATCGCCCACTGGTGGTCACCAGATGGAGAAAGGCTTGCCTTCCTGATGATAAATGATTCGCTGGTGCCTAACATGGTCATCCCTCGGTTTACCGGAGCATTGTATCCCAAAGGAAGGCAGTATCCGTATCCTAAGGTAAGTAACGAGGCCGCGCCAGTTTGTTGCCCTTGCTCTGCACCAGGGACTTCACTGATAGTATTCATGGTTGACGAACAAGTTGTTTTTGGAGAAAAAAAAAAGAAGCATCATTTTAGAGCTGTCAGTAGTCTGTCCACACTGCTTGGGTAGGAGGAGATCAAGATGTGGGGATGTGGGGACTTCGACCTTGCTGCATTTCTTTCCCTTTGATGCTCTCATTCTTGTTTTCCCTCATCTCCCACTTGAAAGACGGTGAGAAGACATAAGGGGTCTTTCTCCGAGGTATATTCTGTGAGTGGTCAATAGCTGTTATAAAGGAGGAAAATGTGCCATCGTCAACTACATTGGAAATTCTTAGTTGAAAAAAATCTAGCTTCTCTCAAGATGATTTCTTAGAGCACTTAATGTACTATATGTTAATGCGTATTATAAATCTCCTATAAAAAGTAGACTAAGCATAAAGAATCTGCAGAAGCATAAAGAATCACCAATAAAGAATAGACTAAGCATAAAGGATTTATTAGCATTAACTTCAGTACTGTTTTGGCAGAGCAAACTCTGGAACATACTTTATAAAACGCTGGGGTAGAGCCATGGCCAGGCGTAGCGAGGATAAAATTGTTTTATTGAGTGAGGCAAATACGGAAATCCTGTGCAGATGGCAAAACCATTTCCAAATGTTAGGTGAGGCTTCTCAAGGAGGTTGCAAAAACACCTGGAGTGTGCTGGTTTTCCAGTATATATCATGTTTAATTACTTAAGGTCTCTTTTTTAAAGTTTACTTTCCCCATGTTATGTAAGAAAGGGAAAGGCTCATAAGTGATGCCCTCTATGCATCAATCATGTAAAGATACCTCATAGCAAACTTTTAAAATTCCACTTTACACATTTTAGCTCTTAATTAGATTAAGACATGGCTGCTAATTTCATTTAGAGGCCATTTTTTTAAAGCCATTCCTTTAGTGAGTTGTATTTTGTATTTCCTAGCATGATAGATTTTTATATTTTTCAATTTGCACATTACATTAACTGGGCAGAGTGCTGGACAAATTACCTATCACACATATTATTTTACACCTGCGATGAAAGTATGGTCAGTGTTGGGGTGACTGTCCTTATTTTGCTATCATCTGCCAGACTCAGGTTTTCCAAGGTGGGGGGGGGGGCTTTATGGAGAGTCGGGAATAAACAGAGTTTCCTCAATGAGGTTCTGTACTGTTTTTCTCCACCCTGTCTTCCTTCCACAGTGTGGGGCGTTAAATAACTGATGCATAAGGAGGACAGCAGGGGGGAGAGGAGTCAGATCCCAGGATTTTGAAATATTATTTTTAGGGTCTCCTCTGGACATATACTGGAAGTCCCACATACTCAGTATTCTTCAGGAGAAAATAGCAATTTGACCTAACAACAAAATAAACATATTCACAGAGATTTTTATTCTACTCCAAGAAAAGTACTCACAATTTCTCCAATTACAGATTTAGCCCCATTTTATGGTTGACAGTTTGTGCCTGCCCAGCATACTGCACTTGCTTTTTTCCAGAGAAAAACAGAAAAGACTTCTCAATACATTGTTAATTCTAATACCATTTGATTTACTTATTGTAATGAAAGGTCATCTGGTAATTCTGACACAAATTGAAGAAATGGTGGCACATTGTGTAATGCTTATGTCAATAAATAAGATCTTCACACAGAACTGTCCAGATTGTGCACTGAACAAAGAATAAAATCAGCCCTGGGAAGGGGCAACTTTTTATAATTCATTTCCCCCAAACGGTGGGGATTTTAGGATTCACAGATAAGAGCCATAGCAGTAGCTGCATCTTCAAGTTTCCTTCTTAGTTATAGACTTTGGTGCTTGAACTTGGACATCCCCAGGCCTCATAATTTTCATAAGACTGATGCAAACAAATGAACAAATAGAAGCACCTGAGGGAATTTAAATATGTCAGCAGTAATTCAACAGATCCTGATTGACAAACCTAGACACTTATTTAGTAAGTTTTTATTTAATTAGTTTTTAAATATTTCTTAATAGTTAAGCTAAGCATAAAATAATAGTAAGGTTTGCTCATTAATTGTATGAATCATGTGTGCTAATAACATGCTTTATGTTTTCAGAGAGACTTTTCATTGTTTTCCTCTTTGGTCCTCCTCACAATTGCCTCTTCTTTTTACAAATAAACACACTTTGCTTCTAAAACGCCAAGTCCTTGTATGAAAGTCACAGTTATTTTAAGAACAGGGAAATAACTCACATTTATCGATTCTGTTCCTCTCTATAAAACTGCTAAAGGTTAGCATATCACAGAAGCAGTACCAGGAATAAGAATGTCTCCTGGTTAAGATAACAAATATATGTGCAGCTCTCTTTGCTCCGTTTGCTATTAGTGACTTAGCTCTCTACACTGGGCGGGGCAAGAGTAGCTTTACAGTTGTGAGTCTGCGAAACACGGTTTATTTTTGTATTATAATTTATTAACTAGAGGCCCAGTGCATGAAATTCATGCATGGGTAGGGTCCCTAGGCCTGGCCAGTGATCAGGGCCAATCAGGACCTTCCTGCTGCAGGCTGGGGCCGTCCTTCATTCTGTGCCGCCCCCTGGTGGTCAGCACAAGTCGTAGCGAGCGATCAAACTCAGTCTCACAGTGGAACTCCCAAGGGGACCCTTTGCATATTAGCTTTTTATAGGTATAGATTATTGTAGTATTTTCTATACGAACCTACTTTTGTCCCACCCTGTATGAGTAGCATTCTTAGAAAGCCTCACACCTGCCATATGTGAACATATATATTTCTATATGTAATGCATGTTGTATGTAAGACATGATGGATGTAATACATGATGGACGTAATACATGATGAAGGTCCTGAGTCTGTGTTAGTGACCACCATGTAGGAGTATTAAAATGAAAAACAGGTATTGGCCAAAGCTGAGAGAAAGAACCCCAAGTCCTCAGAGGGTTGACGGTAGAAATTCCTGCCTAGGTATTTAAGACAATAGGACTCCAAGAACCTAGGTCTGGGTTTTGGTCTTTGTTCTCATGCTAACTTTCACTGTCATGTTGGGTGTGTTACTTGATTTTCAAGGTCTCATTATTTTCTACTCTGGTTTTTAAAAAAAGGTGTGCTTTTTTTCACTAATAAATGCATTGTGATTTGCTCTTACTTATTTAATAAATTTTCCAAAATGGTATTTTAGACATTGAAATACTGCATAGAGTTCACACTAAATTGTGTTTCAAATTAAACTTGATCAAAATGAGTGCATCAAATACCCCATGTAGTCAGATTTACTAATGAAATACTTACACTAAACAAATATATTTGTATTTTACTTAATTCAGCATGGTTCAGGACTCATAAAATATCCTTCATTAGCAATTCAGCACAAAAGAGATGCACAGTTCTATCTCAGTAACCTCAGGTTAATGTTCTTAATTAAAACATTATCTCGTTTAATGGCAATTTAGTTGCCAGTAAAATAAGGTTAATTATTATTGAGGCTTTATTTCAGAATCATAGAGGAAGGAGTCTGTGGAGTTGCAGTTTCTGTGGCAAATGTGACTGTAAAAGCGCATAGATGAACTCCTTTAATTTCCAAACTATTGAGACAATTCAAATATTCAAAGGTACAGATGAACTTGCAATGTGCACTTCATTTCAAAACTCCAAGAAAAGATAAGAATCTAATTAAGATTATAAAATGCTGAACAGCTGAATTTTGGAAACAGCCTGATGTTCGGTTTTTATCTAAAATTAGCCACATGTGTATGCAACTGTTAATTTGTTTTCATGTAGAAGCTAATTGGGATACTTGTGATTCTGTGCAAGTAAAAACTTACAGTGCTGTGGCCTTCAGAGGTGGTAATGCCCATACATGTCTTTGACAAAGTACATCATAAGATTATGTAACATTGATAAGAACTCATAGAAAGGTCAAATTTAATTCAACTTCCCTTTTTTTAAATCAGTTTATTGAAAGAAAAATATAAACAATTTTTCACTAACTAGAGAGGTCAGTGTCTTAATAATAACTATCATTTTTAATTCATTACTATATACTATTGTAGGTACTTTTATAAATCATCTTTTTGTCAGTCCATATAACAAAACTATGAGAAACTTTTATCTATAGAAAGAAAACCTACTTTGGGTCAAAACTTCTGACTTGTGACAGATTATGTTCAGAGAGTTCTCTCTCTCTCTCTCTCTCTCTCTCATTTTTTTTTTAATCCTCACCCAAGGATATGTTTATTGACTTTAGAGGAAGATAGAGAGAAATACCTATCGGTTGCCTCCTATACCCACACAAATCTGGGACTGAACTCAAAACCTAAGTATGTGCCCTTAGGAGGAATTGTACCCACAAACTTTAGGTATATGGGAGGAAGCTCCAACCAACTGAGCCCCCCAGCCAGGACAGAGAATTGCCTCATTTTTTTTTTATAATAAAATAAAATAATACTTCAGGATTGTTAACATCCTGTCCATGGTCCACATGCAGCAAAATTTGAACCTAAAATTCTCTGACTCACAGATAAAGCTAAACCAGTTCTCAAAATGTGGTTCTTTTGCCAATGGTATCAGCCTCCTTGGGAATTTTTAGAAATGCAAATTTGTCATCTCCCATCAGGGGTTAGAAATGATGGAGGTGGGCCTTGAGGCTCACTGAGTGATTCAAAAGCAGGTTAACTTTTGATAAACAATGAACTGCCATAACTATAATCAGTATGCAAATTTTGATAAAACACTGATACTATGTATTGATATTTATCTATCAGTTTTTTAAAATATTTGCACAGTGATTATAGTAATCTGGATCTTGATGAACATAGATTCTTAGGCCCACACCCCAAGATTCTGATTCTGCCTCTGAATATGGATCTGGGCGGGACACATCAATTTGTGTTTCTAAGGTTTCCGAGAATGCTGATTGATACCCTTGTTAGAGAACAACAGTTTGAATGGCGCCACTGAATACTGTGTTGCAGCTCAAAGTTTTAACATACAAGTTAGAGAACTGATTAGACTAAAAATATATGGATAAGGCCAATATTGTCAGGGTGGAAAATGGCGATTTAATGAAAGCAAAAGTGATGTGAAAGAGAGAGCCTAGGGGTGGTCAAACCCTACATTGCTGGAGATAAATCTTCCCAGGCCCTGGAGGGCTTTAGAACAATGAAAAGCTTTACAAAATCTGACACCGGAGCTTTCTGTGTGAGGCAGGCTCACCGCTTATCTTCCAGGAAGCCCTTTACTCAAGGAACCATTTCCAGGATGTTTCCTAATGTCCCGGCACTTCTGTAGTGACAGCCTTTCTGACTTGTTTCTTTGCCTCCAAACTTCTGACCTGTGTTTGAAACACTCGCCCAGACGTGCTAGTCATTTTTCTTTATAGACTTTATTTTTTTAGAGCAGTTTAAGGTTGTCAACAAAATTGAGGAGATGGAAAGTACTTGCCATATACCTTCTGCTCCCACACATTTATGGCCTCTCCCATCATCAACCTCCCCACCAGAACTGTGCACTGGGTACCATTGATGAAGCATCACTGACACATGTAATGACGCAGCATCCATGGTTTTATGGTTCAGATCTGGCATTATACATTCTGCGGCTTTAGACAAATGTATGATGACATGTATCCCTCCCCATGGTGGCAGGCAGTGTTGTCACTGTTCTACAAATCCTCTTATTGGCTGTACTTATTCACCTTTCTTCCCTTACCTCCATGCTAATTATTATTAAGACCCTAACAGAACAGTTCTTGAGCTATTGCTAACTATCAGTAGAATGTAGTATATTGTTTCTGGTCCTGATTTAACTCTGGATTTTGTAGATGCCAAGTCCTTGAACATGAATATTTCTTTGTCATTTTTAAAGCAGTTTTATTGTTCTCTTTAGACTTTTGTCAGGTCTTTGAATTCAACTCAGTTTAAATTCCCTATCCTCCTCTGTATAGCTCATAAGCTCTTCTCTTAAAGCACCAGCCTGTGTTTGAAACACTCTCATAGGTGTGCTAGTCATTTTTCTTTACAGACTTGGAATAAGTAAATTGAGTCACAGTAATCAACTGATTCTGTTCATCATTTATTCCCATAAATTTCATTGCATTCATTCAACATGCTTGAGATTTGTTGGTGAAAGATCCCATATCCACCCCCTTAAACGTCACAGAATATTTAGAAAACTTTGATGGCCATTGCCTAAGAATGAACTAAAGCAAAACTACAGTCGTTAAGAGCATCCTGGGCTTAAATACTGCTTCCCTCACTTACTGGGCATTTCCCCCTGCACAGTTTGCTGAGTGTCTCCATTTTCATCTGGAAAATGTTATAATTATATCTTAGTTCTATAGTAGGAACATTTAATGAGATAATTCATGTGGTGTTTAACAGATATTATTAACCAGAAGCATAGTAACTATTTACAATTGGTTGTGATTTAATAACATTTTTATTATGAAACTGAAATGACATATTCTTACTACTGTCTTTCTACTCTGCATGCCAGGTACTGAGTGAGGGCAGTCTGCTCATGGCCCACATCCTAAGGGTCACTTATACCCCATCTAACATTCATAAATGTCAAGGATGGTTAATGCATGAAATAGAATTAGGTTTGTGGAATTTTAAGCATGTGGCACCTGGATTGGTACTTTTTTTCTGTCTTGTTTTAGTATTATTATTTTTTAACTAGCCAAGCTCTTTTCCTCATTACATGTTATATCCTATAAATGAGTAGCTGCTTGAGCTACTTGTTTTTATAAAGCCAGCCCTCCGGTGTCATTCTAGGAAAAGAACACAGTAGCACTAGCTAATGAATAAAGTCATCATGATTTTCTACCTTTAATTGTCTGACTAAAATGGTTTGAGAAGCAGCAATCTTCAAAAACAGTTGAAAGCAATCAAGTTGTTGAATTTAAAATCATTTCTACTTCAAAGAAATTAAACTTTCCCCCCCATTCTAACACAAAATTATAAAAGAGTCAAAATGCATTTGCTTTCTTTCCTCATATAGTCTAATGCTTAATGTATTTGCATTACAACTTTCATTTTCTCAAAGGCAGGTCAAGTGAACCCAACAATCAAATTATATGTTGTAAACCTATATGGACCAACTCATACTTTGGAACTCATGCCACCCGACATCTTTAAATCAAGGTACGCAATTTCAATTTCACTTTTTACCAGGGAATAGATAGGTTAACACCAAGTATCATTTTGTTGTAATTTAGAGCAATGTGATCAGCTCAACAAGTCCACTTGAAAGTAAGGTTCAGGTTGCCTCCATTAGTGCAGGAATGAGGTCATTCTGATTATCTTACTTGCAGGAAACCTTTAAAATTTCAAGGTGATTAGCATCACAAAATAACTAAATATACTGATACTGAGAATTAGACCTTTTGCAAATGTGACAGAGAGATGGGAACAAAGGATCATTTTCCACTGATTTTTCCTCCTGAAAATAGTAACTCCATTTTTAATGTTTTTCCTCTTTAAAAGAGTATAATCTCCCTAAAATTTGTGCAGTCTTTTCAACTTTCTCCCTACAGCTTACCAATGATTCTCTAGCATTCTTCTCCTGGCAGAGAAATTTAATGAGATTTTATTTTTAAATATCCTACATAAAAAGCCCTCTCAAGAAGCTTAAGTGGGAAGAAAAGAAACGCATTGTACGGAGCAGCAAAATCTCCAGTTGAGAAACAACTAATCAAATAGCCATGTGGATTTTGAAATCCAGAGTGAACTCAACTTCGAGGGTGATTCTTTCAAATCCTGTAGTTCTTTGAAAATTTGAAGCAGCCCTAACGATGGGATGAGATAGCAGCTGTTTAAGGAAAATAGTTTCACACTATTTTGAATGATATGGGCTAAGCTTGAGGGTTATTTTGATGACATCAACAATCAATCAATGCAGAGTGACTGATTCAAAAGCTATTCCTCTCAAATGTTGTCACACTGACATATTCAGAAAAAATTTTATCAGAGTTGGGGATTTTCACAGAAAGTACAAGCTGCTGTGTATGGAAAATTTTCCCACTTGAAAGATAATAAAAAATTCTGGAATGCTTACACTGGAAGGGTTCTCATTAACTACCTACTATATAACCTGCTCCTTATTTTAGTGGAAAAGCTGAGACCCAGAGATTTAAAAAAAAAAAGTTGAGATAGACGCTCAGGATTAGTTAGTAGCAGAGTTAGAAAATGAGGTGAAGCCAGTTTCATCAAGTTACAGCACACTGCATCCAGATTATGATGGAAGACTTTAAAAGGCCATCTGAACTGACGGGAGAATGCAGTAGGGTTAACCAAATCAGGTAGAAACTTCTACTTCTGGGCTCAGCCTACTAGTCATGAAAGATTTCGTCACAAATGAAACAATTATAAAAACTGTTGAGATTTTATGTGATCCTTAGCACATCTTTTCCCCTCATTTGTTTGAAGCTCTGAATTAACAAGAAAGGGTGCTACACTGGAGTGTTTGAGTCACATCTCTACCACCATTTATTTTTGTGACCTTGGGAATGTCACTCTACCTGTCTCTGGGTCTGACTACCCTAATCTTGATATAAATATTTATAATGTTCATCAGGGTTTAAAAAAATATATTTTTATTGATTTCTGAGAGGAAAGGACAGGGAGAGAGAGGCAGAAATATCAATGATGAGAATCATTTATTGGCTTCCTCTTACAAGCTCCACAATGGAGATCGAGGCACATGCCCTGACCAGGAATTGACCTGTGACCTCCTGGTTAGTAGGTCGACCCTCAACCTCTGAGCCACATTGGCTGGACAAGGTTTTTGTTTTGTTTTGTTTTCTTTTAAGTCTTTGAAATAGGGGTCAATTTAAAAATATCCTGGTTCCTTTCTAATAGGAGATAGTGGTTCCTGACCTTGAATTTGTTACTTGAAAGAGTTTCTAAATATTAGTGTGGCCAGCTAGGAGTTAACAAAGAGAAGGGAGCTAGACTTGTTGAGCCTAATTGAGTCTGTAAGTTATACTTAAGACTAAATCTGGAATTCACAGCTTCAGACACCCCAGGCCATAGCTGAATTCCTGCCAAGGGGCTTAACATCCCTACATATTCCACCCCTATCCCAGTGTAAGGAGGCTTCCAGTCTCCCCAGGGGACTTACCTGTCCACTCAACTGGACTTTAGGCAGGGAGAGCTAACGATAGAGGGAAATTCCTCTGCTGAGGCACGTGCAGTGGAAGACAAGATGGTACAGGGGAGGTCCTTCTACTCTGAGGCCTGTGCAGTGAGTGGGAGCCAGGACAGTGACCATGATGGGGAGGAGTATAGCCTGGGAAAAGGATCGGATTGGATGAGGGCATGAAACCTGGAAGGTCTAGGAAAGGTATAGGTAGGGTGAGGGCCCAGCACAAGGCTGCAGGGAGACAGGAAACAGATTGGTTAGTTTGAAAGAAAACCTGCTCTTTCCCAGGTTGGAGATAATATGATCAAAGCTTAACAAAGTCCCCTCCTGGTCAGTAGCACACATTCCGGGTTCCCTTCCTTCGAACACTCTCTGTGCAGCCATGTGGGCCTGGCAGTTGCACCCCTGTGAGCGTGGGTCTGGTGCGGCAGCACAGTGCTTGCTGGAATGCAGCCAGGAACAGAGACTGGCTAGCTGGACAGGACAGAGACTGAACTGGACTAAGATTTGGCATGGAATGAACTGAACTGCAAGAGTCTTGGGTGCCCTGCCCATGCAAGGCCAATGACACAGAATTTCTGGACCCTGGTCCTTCTGGTCTTGGTGAGGAGAAGTGCGGGCTTGAGGACCCAAAAGCGGCCTCCCCCCCCCCCCCCCCCCCCCCCCTCCGGGAGCAAGACCGTCTTCCAGTCTCCCAGGGGGCTCTGCTATCTGGTCATGGTGAAGACATCAGGCACCTGGGGACAATTCTTTATTTTTGCTCCAATAAATCTTACTACTACAACTCATCCTCCTACGCATCGTTCCTGAAATGCTTTTCTTATGGCTCCGCAGAAGAGCCCTAACTCCACCAGCAGCATAATGAGTTCAATGACTATCATCAAACACAAATATTCCTAACGACAGGAACATTGTCATTTATTGGAGTATTAATGAAGTGTACATCTCTTTAACATGTGAAGAACAATGTGATAAAATTAGTCACTCCTTGCACAGAGATATCACATATCCTTAGCTGTTGGAAGGCCAATAAGTACAGAAAAAAAAAAATGCTTTGTCCTACTGAGAGTGAGAAAAATCCTGTGAAGAAAAAGAATTTAAAAGTAATTCAGATATTTGGTTTAGCCATGTGTTGGTCTGTAATTTGGAGAGAGACATGTAATACCTCATTGACAAATGTACATAACAGTTTTGCTTCTTATGCCTCTTGGTCTTATGTAAGTGCCAACTGTGGCATCTGAAATGCACCAAAGTGTATGATTTACTCTTCTTGCTGCAAAACTCCAGATCAACATTGACTTCAAAACTGGTATTTTCTCATGCTCCAGTTTAACAAAAATGTAGTTTCTTACTCATTTGTTCTTGGTGAAAGCTTTAGTCCAATTCACGGGGGGGGGGGGGGGGGGGGAATCAATATAATTTATGACATCTGCATTTAGACACTGTAGGGCTGCATATTACTTGAATGGGCCCAAAGATACACAAACATGCAAAAAAAAAAAATAGAGAGAGAGAGATATCCATGGTGTGAGTAAAAGAAAGCTACATTCATTTAGATGCACATTAAATGGAAACTAAACTCTTAGTTTTTTTTGATTTTGTTTTAGGGTTATCAATAGCTTTGATATTTAATATTAGCACCATATCCATAGGGAAAATTCCCAAAAACCTTTCCTCGTTAAATACATGACATCTAAAAGAGCATATCATCTTTCATAATTCATTGATCAGTGTCCTAGTAATTAAAAAGGCAACACACTCAAGAAGGGTAATGAAATGTAGGTAATTAAAGGACAATTAACAAAGATATGGACAGGATTGAGGGGAGACTCACAAAGGATGGGAAATCAACATCCAGTCTGCATCAGCAGAAATGTATTACTAACCCAGGACTTCCGGAGTAAGGGGCAGGCTGACTGATGAAACCTGAAGAGGCTTGTAACTTAAGAACAAATGGGCCATCCATTAGGGCCTGTCCACAGGTGGAAAAGGCCAGTCACTGCCAAGCCGCACCCTGGCAGGGTGTGGGTCCTAGAGGTAAATACCCCGCTCTCTTCCCAAGCGTTGAGTTCCTGCAGAGGACTCCTGTTGTCAAGGCAGCTTCATTGCAGAGATCTGCTTCTGGAAATGGGGGTGGGGTGGGGAGGGGAGTTGGAGAATGGATCTGGCAAATGAAGAATATTGGACACAAATAACTTAAGGATAATATTTACCTTAAGAAATGTATCATTGTTATTACTCTAGGGATGTATTGGAGATGTCCACAAGAGCACAGTGATTTTTCTGAAGCAATGTGAGAAATGTTCTTTCTCTGTTTTTGTTTCTCACTTGTATCTCTGTCGTTCTCTCTCTCTCTCTCTCTCTCTCTTTCTCTCTCTCTGTCTTCAGTTTCTCTTTCTCCATATATACACTAGTACATCTATGATTTAACTAAGTAGTACTTGTGTTCTCAAGAAAACCAGACATATTTCTCTTAAGTGGATTGTGAATCATGGAACTGATCACGTTTTCATTGTTTGCATTAGTGTATTTTGGACATGAAGTTTACCTGTGGTAAAACTTGCTTCCCTCTGTAACTTATTTCCCTTACCTTTCTTTTGCATTTTCTTTACCATCTTAGTCTTAAATTTTTATAAGCTAACTCAAATTCTTTACATATTTTTAAATATATTATTTGTTATACCAGTACTAGTAACAATATTTCCATATTTATTAGTGGCAGTATTCTATAAGTCCTAAGCAATACAAAACCATTTTTATTTTTACAACATGAAAGGATAAACATGCATAACATAATTGATTAATAATATACATTTCCTATGCCCTATTAAGGCCATCAAATGACCACTCTTCTTCCTGGAGTTTGTATTGTGTTCATAGCTACCAATAGCATTTGAGATGCTGCTTAAACTTACAATAATAGAATATCTAAATAATTAATTCACTTTATAATCATTTATATATTTACTCTTTTAGGCATGCAATCTAACCATCTACAGTATATTTTTATTTTATTTTCACATGACCTGTCAAATTGCCAATCAATAAGTGAACCTATGAGTCAGTGTGATTCTTTTTTTCTACTATACTTATACTTGAATTTCATATATGACCATCTCTATAGCCTTTTTATTTCTAAGAAAAATCACCATGATGATAGCAATAATAATAATTAAATACATATGTACCTATATAGGGAGGATGATTAATAAGATGAATATAGAAAGATGTTCTCATGACTTGAACTACCTTGTAAACTGTCCTCTCATCCCCCCCCAAAGAGCAAGATTTGCTTTTAATTTGAAGGTATTAGGTCATTTGTTTTGGTCCTCTGGTTGGTTGTTTGGTTGATTTAATTAGTTATAATAACTAATGTTTACAATTACAATAGAAAAAGTCCCCAAGCTAGTCTTATCATTGGATAGAACTTCTCTTCAACGAGATACTTATGCTCTAGCGCAGTGGTTCTCAACCTGTGGGTCGCGAGCCCTTTGGTGGTCAAACGACTCTTTCACAGGGGTCGCCTAAGGCCATCCTGCATGTCAGATATTTACATTACGATTCATAACAGTAGCAACATTACAGTTATGAAGTAGCAACAAAAATAATTTTATGGTTGGGTCACAACATGAGGAACTGTATTTAAAGGGCCAGAAGGTTGAGAACCACTGGGTGTCAAAGAATGCAAAATAAATTTCAATTCATTTATATGTTCTATAAAGAAAATATAAGGATACGTTTATTGGAGAAAGACATAATTTATCTTTCCAATTCCTTTCCCCATACTCCCATCATTTAAAAATATATATCAGTGAATCAGCTAAAGACCCTTTATCAAACAAATTCAGATCCTGAATGCAACTTTTCTTTAATGCTAATTCTGTCCAGACTCTTATACTTTTTAAAAAATATATTTTTATTGATTTCAGAGAGGAAAAGAGAGGGAGAGATAGAAACATCAATGATGAGAAAGTCATGACCGGCTGCCTTCTGCACATCCCCTACTGGGATTGAGCCTACAACTCAGGCATTTGCCCTCACCAGGAGTCGACCTGTGACCTCCTGGTTCATAGGTTAACACTCAACCACTGAGCCACGTCAGCTGAGCCAGACTCTTATCTTTATTAGTATTTGAATTATGGCCTGAGTTGATTCTTCAGATTATAGCATGGTAGGAACTAAGATAATGAATGACCCTTCTTGAATATCTTAAGGCCCAGTGGAAGTTAGACAATTCATTTCATCTGAAGAAGAAGAAACATTTTGTAAACTGTTACACTATGAGCTTAAGGTATTGCAAGCATTTAGTATCTTTATTGGAATTTACAGGTATGGATTTTAAATAATTAAATTATTGTGGATATATTTTTATGATAATGAATCATGTAGATTTTTCCACATGCTATGTATTTGTCACATCTTTGGGGGGAAAGTGATTATCATTTATGTTCAGAAATCTGTAGGCTGAAGAGTAGAGGTAGTGGTTTGGTTTTGGTTTCTCCTTACTCTGTGTCTGTGACATTATTGTACTTATTTGAAATATTTTTTTAGTTAGCCCATTTTTGTGACCCATTGTTCTCAGCTTATACCAGTAATGTGACAGTGTTATTTTGGCCTGTCACTCCATAACTTGAGGGCTACTTTAAAAGGGAAAACACTCAAAAAGAATATTTAAATTGTTTTGTTGCTGATGTCATTATTTCTTTTAAAAACCTTTCATGTTATTTTATCTTATATTCTGTAAAGCAGTTTTATTTGTATGTTTTCCATAAATGTGACCTTGATTGTGTGGTATTTGGTAAATTGTTTACAATCATTATATTATTTTTTCTTTAAGTCAAAGACCATTTATGCTAATTAATCATAAATACATATTGTCAGAATTCAGTATTTCCTGATTGATTATAGTACCCACCATCATTTTCTCCATGTTAAATCTTCTAGATAAATCTTTTAAAGTTTAATACTTATATTTTCCCTTTTTTAGTAGTCACGCTGCCAGGTATAATAACATGCAAAATAAATCACTTTAAACAAAACAAAGTAAAAAATGAACAGGACATAATTCTTTGAAGAACTGCAACACACACTGATCTGGACAAAGATGAATCCTAAACTATTGCATATTTGATTTGAAGTTGCCTGGTCTTGTTAACTCTGTTTGGGGAACTTGCCACAACGATTGGACTGAGTTTCTAGGCAATTTTCAAGTGGGAGTCAGCTGGGTTGTGAAAGCTGTCGAATGTCTTGAAGAGATTGTTGAAGAAAATATTGCAGCCTTCACTGTATGATAAGTTATGCTTGCCCTACTACTGACATCTTCACTTTGATGGGCTAACAGGTTTGCTAGAGGAAGCAGTAGGTACTCAGTAATGTTAGAAGTGTAAGATTCATGTAGCTGAATGTCTAACCCAGATGTGTATAAGGACAGGTGATTTGTCTCACAAGGCTTTTCTCCCACAGGTGATTTTTTTCCCCAAGTCACATTAAAACCAGGTGGGTTAATTTGAGGATCATACTCACAGATGGCACTTTTCAAGCCATTGCTAAAGTATCTCATCTATTCTGAAACTGGGCACATTGGCTGGAAAGTTGTTGCTTTTTTTGTTGTTGTTATTAATAGATCAATTGTGGTAATTGCATTATCTTCTGTTTGGCTTGGGAATTGTGTAATATACTACGTAAATTTCCAAACAGAATCTACAGTGAAAGAAATATAAAGAAAAAATATAAACTCCCAATCTACAACTAGCCTGAGGACATAATGGGCCTCCCAAATTAGTATACTCAGTGTAGCAAATATTCAATAACCCCCTCTTCTCCTTCAGTTTTAAATAAATACGAGTGAAAAAATATTGTAGAAAATACTATGAATAAGACAGAGACTGGCCCTTTGCCCATAGCTGACAAACACTAAAACAAACCATTCGTAGTTCTGCGTAGAGTGAAATAACGTGGAGGCCATGCATAAATAATAATTGTCAAGAATAAGCTTTGCTTTTAAATTTATTATTGATTATATTTAAAAAAATAAAATAGAATATAGCTTAGAAAAAGTATACTTAGTTTGCACATAGATTATTACTTATAAGTAGAGGATAAAATTATTTAAAAATGTCTAGTATTTTGATTGTTTTTATCTTTTCAAGGACTTCCTTTCTGGGAAAACGTTCACTTTTAGTTTTATTATCAAATTTTCTGTATATTTTAGATGTATGTATATATTAGTATATGCACATGTGTTTGCACACATGTAGATATATACATACATAGGCATGTATTTGTATTTATATACGTTAATATTTGAAAAAGTGATGTGTTTATATACATAAATAGAAATTCTTATGATGTGATATTCTTATATCTATAGTGTTTAAGTTATTCTTACATATAACAATTTATATTATTGGTACTATACAAGTTCTCTGGCTCTAAATGTAAATTTTAATGTTGTTTCCAACTAGAGAATATTATATCACAATGGTTAAATGGGTAAGCAATACCAAGACGGTGGTCAGATGGTTAAACCGACCTCAGAACATTTCCATCCTCACGGTCTGTGAGACCACAACTGGTGCTTGTAGTAGAGTGAGTATAATTAACTTTTCTTGTACGCTTAAAATGATGTAGTTTACTTGTATTTTATTTTTTTACAGCTGCATAGTATTCCATTGTGTAAATGTACCAAGGAAGATGGGGGAAGGGGGCTAGGAATAGGTCAACCAAAGAACTTGTATGCATATATGCATAACCCATGGACACAGACAATAGAGTGGTGAAGGCCTGGGGCAGGGGGCGGAGTAGGCTAGAAGAAGTCAATGGGGGTGGAGGGAGGGGCATATGTAATACTTTCAACAATAAAGTTTTTTTTAAGGATTATTATGTGTATAAAGGGTAGCCAAAGCCATGATAATGTCATTCTCAAGTTTGGGAGGTCTTTTAATATTTTGACTTTGATTAATTTGAGAATATAGAATGTTTCTTTTATGTTTTCTTTAAACATATTTCAAAATTCAATTATTTATAGCTTAGATTCTTTTTCTAAAATAACATACAGTATCTCTTTCCTTAAATTAAGTAAAGATAGTAAAAAAATGGTTTTGGAAATACTGTGTTTTTAAATCAGGTTGTATTTAGATTTCTGTAATCAGTTTTTATTAACTGTAGTAAATTTGGTATGTGTAATTTTAAGGTTCTTAGTGGAGAAAATACTGTAATCCATTTAAATTGTTATATACTTGTACTTGGTAAAGGATTCCCAATTATATAATGACAGGATTTTTGTCTTTGGACAAGATGGAGTAAATGTTATCAGGCTAGCATCTCTGATGTAAACAAATATAAAACTGTACAAAAATATTAAAAATCTGTTTTCAGATGTTGGACATCATGAGGATTAGAAAATAAATGGTGAAATAAAGTTAATACACAAGATGGGCATAAATATGACTTCCCATTGGTGACATTTTTGAGACCACAGTGCAATGGGAATGGTGCCCAGGAAAGACACAGTGGTATCCCTGCTTCAAGTAGACAGGAAGAATCAGAGTATGAGGCTATTGTGGCTGAAATTTGGCAGAATTTGGAGCTATATAGAGAAGAATTCTAGCTATCTATGTAAAGGACCTCTTAAGTCTTTAGTTCATTGCTTCTCTGTGCAAGTACAAGATATACCATAGAGAAAAGAATCAAAGAAAGAAACTGCATTATAGGTCAACTGTAATTTAATAATTAAAAACGAAACAGTCCCTTTAGCATTTCTTGAATTGCTGATTTGATGGTAATAAACTCCCTTAGCCCTTTTCTGTCTGTGAAGCTCCTGATTTCCCCTTCAAATTTGAATGATAGATTTGCTGGATAAAGTATTCTTAGATTCAGTCCCTTGATTTTCATCATTTTGTATAATTCATTTCATTCCCTTCTGGCCTGATGTGCTTCTGTTGAGAAATCAGTTGATAGTCTAATGGGAGATCCCTTGTAGGTAACTTTCTATCTCTCTTTTGCAGCCTTTAAGATTCTTTCTTTGTCTTTTACTTTTGCCAATTTAATTATTATGTGTCTTGGTGTCATCATTTTGGGTTCATCTTGATTGGGACTCTCTGTGTTTCTTGGACTTGTGTAATTGTTTTCTTCCCAAAGTCAGGGAAGTTTTCTGTCATTATTTCTTCAAACAAGCTTTCTATTCCTTGCTCAGCTTCCTCTCCTTCTGGATCCCTTATTATGTGGATGTTTTCATTTCATGTTGTCCCAAAGCTCCCTTAGACTCTCCTCCTGCTTTTAAATTTTTTTCCAGCTGCATCTCTGCTTGTGTGTTTTTCTACCTTGTTTTCTAACTCGCTGATTCAGTGTTCAGCTTCTTCTAGTATACTGTTGAAACTTTCCATTGTGTTCTTTATTACAGCTGTATTATTCTTCATTTGCACTTGATTCTTACTCATGTTGGTGAATTTCTCATTGAGCTCCTTATAATTCTCATTGAGTTGTCTGTATTTCTGATCCAGAAATTTGAGTGTAGTTATAACCATTATTCTGAATTGTTTTTCTGACAAATTACTTGCCTCCATTTCCTTTAGTTTCTTTTCTGGTGATTCCTCTCCCCTTCCCCCCAATCTTTGGGGATTGTTTCTTTATCTCCCCATTTTTTCTGTTCTTTTGTAATATTTTCTATGTATTAGATCAAACTGTTATGCCACCCAGAGTTTGGGGGTTGGTCTTATGTAGTAGATGTTTTGTGGGACCCAGTGGTGCATGCTCTCAGGTCTCCTGGGCTGGGTGTTCTACAGAGGCCACCTACGTAAGATATTTGGGTTCTCCTGATGGTGTTGGGTCTTGAATGTCATTGTCCCATTCATAGATGGAGTCTCCTCTCGGTGTGTATATGCACCCCTATGTCCATAGCAGCATAATTTACAATAGCTAAGATTTGTAAACAGCCTAAGTGCCCATCAGCAACTGAGTGGATTAAAAAACTATGCTACATTTACACAATGGAATACTATGTGGCAATAAAAAAGAAAGAACTCTTACCATTTGCAACAGCATAGATGGCCTAGAGCAGTGATGGCAAACCTATGACACGCATGTCAGAGGTGACACGCGAACTCATTTTTTTGGTTGATTTTTCTTTGTTAAATGGCATTTAAATATATAAAATAAATATCAAAAATATAAGTCTTTGTTTTACTATGGTTGCAAATATCAAAAAATTTCTATATATGACACGGCACCAGAGTTAAGTTAGGGTTTTTCAAAATGCTGACACGCTGAGCTCAAAAGGTTCACCATCACTGGCCTAGAGCTTATTATGCTGAGCATAATAAGCCAGTCAGAGGAAGATAAGTATCACATGATCTCACTCATATGTGGAATCTAATGAACCAAATAAACTGATGATGAAAAATAGACCCAGAGATATAGAAGCATGAAAATACTGTTGAATCTCAGAGGGAAGGCAGGGGAGGGTGGGTGGGAAGAGATCAACCAATGAACTTGTATGCTTATATTCAAAAACCATGGCCACAGAGACAATGGGGTTGTGAGGGCCTCAGTGTGGGGAGACAGGAGTGGGCTGGAAGTGGTTAATAGGGGAAAAAGGAGAAGCTGTATAATACTTTCAACCATAAAGATTAAAAATGAATTAATTTAAAAAATAAAAATAAAATAAAAATAAATAAATAATTTAATGTAAAAAAAAAAGAAGACATTTCTTGAGATCAAGGAAAATTGAGCATTGACTGGATATTAGACTATATTATTGGATATTTATTAATTTTGGTAAGTGTGATAATTGTCTTGTTGCTATTTAAAGATATGTATTAGAAATGAATGATGAATTTACAGGTAAAATGATATGATATTTGGGACTTACTTTAAGATAATTTAATGGTAAAGTATGGGAGGTTGATGAAATAAAAAGATGGTGTATTTTTGATAATTTTTGAAGCTGGGCTAAGGGTCTATGGGAGATTATTATGCCCTGGTCTTTAATTTTGAATATATTTAAAATTTAAAAATATAAAATAAATTATAAAATTAGCTAAAAATAATAAAAATCATTGGAATGCATGTACTCTAGTTGGAGCCAGCTTATCATCTTTTCTATTGGATAATAATTTATACAGGTAAGAACAAAATATGTTAAAATGCTTCAATAAAGAAATAGACATCGGAACCTTATCATATTATTGATTTGATACCTTATTGGTATCCTACTGTTTTTAATTCCATTTATAGAGTTAAAATATTTTACTTTATACTATAAATGAAATAAGTAATTGCATGTGAAATTTTGGAATCTCATGGATTCTAATAAAACAGTGATATTAATAGGCAGTGAAATTTGATGTTTTATTCTGTGGTGTTTTTTTTTTTTAAATGTAAAGACGGGCTATTGCTGAGGTTCAAATAAGGAGAAATCAAGAGGAAGAAAATTTTGATATGACATTTTATAAATGAATCTTTTCTTCATTCATACTTTTCTTATAGAATATTTTCCAGAAAACTACAATATATTTAATAAATTACTACATGTAAACAGTGATACTGAACTATTTTACCTATAAATAGTTATCGAGATTAATTTAATCTAATTTCTCTTTTTGAAATATGATTTTGGTTTTTATTGTTTGCAAGATTATTTTAAAAGATCATAACATTTTTGTCATTACAAATGTGTATGAATATGGTAAAGAAGTGATTGAATATTGAAAGAATGTCTACCTTTTAATTTTATTCCTGGCTACTTGCCCAGTTCTTTTGAAGGACTTAATAATTTTCTATCCTGATGATGCCTAGAGGTGAAAAGAGACAGTGTCTGGTGGTTCAAAACAGCTCGAGTGAGGTAAGGGAAAAGAACGGGAAAATGATCTATTACCCTAGTAGTATACTACTGAGGATTCTGAAGGAGTTCACTAAAGAAAAGACTTTATAATTAAATGATCATTTAATCCCAATTTCATAATTATTTGTTCAGTTTAATTCCTGGTATTTCACCATGTGAAAGAGAGAAAAAAAAATGCCTGAAATAACACTGTAAAGGTTGTTAAATTGATGTATGCTTATTTTGTTCTTTAGAAGCTTCATAAAGTTAATAATTTTGTTTCAGAAATACGAGATGACATCAGATACGTGGCTCTCCAAGCAGGTATAGTATAGGTGGTTTCTTTATGTCACATTTTGTCCATTGTGCACATCCAGTTCACCCATTTGTAATGCAATACCTTTCCAAAGTTATTTTAGAAATATAATTTTAAGGCTTTACATGTTTAACTGAGTCTTTTCCATGAAAATATTTATGACTTAGCATTTTTATGGCATATTTATGAAAATATTGCTTCTGTTTATTATAGGATATACTTGCAGAATAACAATCATTCATTTTTGGGATCATTCATATAAGTAAACTTTCGTGCACATGAAAGAAAAAAAATAGAAACCATTAACCGTGCTCAGATTGCCCAATAAATTGGTTCTGTGGAGATATTCATATGAGCCCTTCCTCTGTTAGATGTATCCTAGCCCACAGTTCTAGTTTGTGGCACAAATGAATCTGGAATCTAAATGATCACAATAGAAAAAGTTCCAAATGTCTCTACGACATGGTGTCATACTGGACATTTCAGAAGTAAACCCAAGGAGATCATCCACAAATGTCTGAACCCATTTTACTATTAACTCCATCACTACTTTTTTTGCAAAGAGGAGTGCTGGTTTGTTTTATTTGTTTTGTTCTTTACAGTCATCTTTTATTTTAAATTCTTTTCCTAGTTCTCATCCATATCTATGGGTTCAATTACAACCCATACACTGAGACCTCCAAATGTATAGGCCCAACCAACTTGCTTGCCTGATTTCTGAAACATCTACACTCATGCTTGGCATTTCCTCCTAAATCTATAAAAGTAATTGCATACTTCACAGGTACAAACTGAACACATCTCTTTTCTATTCAGTCTTATGCCTTCTTATCATAGGAGTCAAAGACATAGTTATCCAGCTATTACAATCATAAATCTATTCTTAAATTCTTTCTCAACCTTACCTGCATATACTCATCACCACACCTTTGATTTTACTTTCAAAGATCTCACGTTATTTTTCTACAGTTTATGAACACTGCCCAGCATTAAACCACAGGTACTGCAGTTCTTCCTTAACTGGTGCACTTCCTTAACTAATGCACCTGCCAATCTGCTCTTCACACTGCAGCCTGGCTCAATGACCTTGTTGAGATATAGATTTGATCACCACCCAAATCACCCTCATACTTCATTCTCACAACGGGAACAATTTTTGTCTATCCTTTTATTCTACAGAAAAAAACCAACATTCTTAGAGAGTCTACAAGGAATTACATTGAAAGTATTTTCAGCTTTGTGCCCTACCATGCTTTCAATTGTTTTCTCCATTCTAGACACATGAACTCTTGTACTCATGAGGCCTTTATAAGAACCATTTCTTCTGAAGAGAAGTCCCCCAACTACTTTCTAATGTAAAGGCTGCTCATTTTACAAACCTTACCTTAAGTCACCTACTTAAGAAGCCACCTCCTCTAACCATCCTAACAAAATCACTTCCCCCAATAAAATTTATTTTAAAGTCAAGTGTAATTTTTGAGTAATACACAATTATTTCTGTGATTTTTTTACTGAGTTCACAAGAAGAGGCAGGATATTCATTTTTGTTGTTGTTGTTCTCCTTTGTAAACCAATTGCCTAATATAGAGTCTTATTAAAAGAAAAGTTCAATAAATATTTGCTGAATAAATAAATAAAATGTGTAAATAGATTAAACTTTTGCTTAGTTGAATCATATACATGTAGGCATAAGTATATATCGTACATCTATTATCTATATTAATATCAGTTGCTTATTCTTAGGCAACATGCAAAATGAAATTGGGTCAAAAACCTTGATTTTTATAGCCAATAATGGACTCTCACAAAATTAATTTTTTAAATATATATTGTATTGATATTTTACAGAGAGGAAGGGAGAGGAATAGAGAGTTAGAAACATCGATGAGAGAGAAACATCAATCAGCTGCCTCCTGCACACCCCCCACTAGGGATGTGCCCGCAACCAAGGTACATGCCCTTCATCAGAATTGGACCTGGGACCTTGAGTCCACAGGCCGATGCTCTATCCACTGAGCAAAACTGGCTAGGGCTCACAAAATTAATTTAAATACTGAAAATAAAAACAATGAAAAACAATATTATATGGATATTGGTGTATTCTGAATTGTCCCGAGTATTAAACCTATTTTGCTATCATTTTTATTGCCAGTGACATTCATAATTGTCTAACATACAACAACATAATATATACTCTTTTGGTATTTTGTTATCTACATTTTAAATACCGATTTCATGAATGTGTAATAGAAACTATTTTTAAGCAAAGAAACCAGTGATCAATTATTCAGTAAGAAAATGCAAATGATAGTTTGTCACAGTAGGTTTTTTCTCCAGAAGTTTAAGGAAATTTCATTGAATACTGAGAATCTGATGAAATTTAAAGGATGAGAATGGCAGTCGTTATGAGGTGAAGCATAATAATCATTATATGCTTGCTTTCTGGAGAGTAGGAAGAGCAGAGAGTGGGCATGTTTGCCCTAGCTTCAAAAGACTTACAGTTGGGATAACCAATATATAAACTGTTTGGTCAGGGATAAAGTGTATTCCCAATTCACTGCCCTGTGTGTCATAAACACTGACTTGCTTAAGGTCATGAGGATTGACAGTGATGTTGGCTCCACTTTCTTTATTTAATTGTAGGAGAGGATTCTGCCTAAAGTGCTAAGTTCATAGCTAGAAATCATCTAATGCTGAAGGTTTCTAAGCCCAACTATGCATTAAAGATTAGAGTCCTCACCTGTCTTTATTGAATCATTTTTAAGGCACCAGATTTGGAGGGCTAATATAAAAAGGGAGAATGCTCAGATATTCCCATAGTATAAAAAATGCAATTTGTTTTTGAAGCAAAACACAAATGGAGAATGTTGAGTAAGGGAAGAGCTAATAGGTTGGTCTAAATGTGATAGAGTTATATATATCACGTTTATATATATATTATAATATCATATATATATTTGTCCATTGTACGCATACATTATCTGTGTACACATGGATTATCTGTTATGATTTGGACACCTACTATATCCTAGACAATAGAACTAAAAAAGACAAAATTGCAAAATCCCCTTAATTGTTACTTGCTTTGTGAAAGAAGTCAAGAATTTAAGAAAGTGCACTGAAAGCCATGAAAAGATGAATAAAAAGTTTAGAATCTCTGAGAAGAGATTTCTTAACTAGGAGATACTCTCTAACAAGAAAAATTTGGAAATAGATTTTGTTTCCTGACTTTAAGCAAAAAATAAGATTTACAAAAGAAAAGAGAAAAACAAATATACCAAAGGAGAAAGTAATGAAATATAAATTCTCTCATAATTGAAAGGTGTGATTTAGAGTCAAGTACCTTTTAAGTATTTATTATATACCCAGTAATGCAATTACCCCACCTTTGAATTGTATGTTACTTCAGATTTTAAATTATTTACATAATAGTATATCATCTTATATTTTCATGAATGTCCAGGAAGTAGACAAGTAAAATCTTATTCTCATATTTTTATCAAAGGATATTATTGCTAATAAAGATAGAATGAGACTCTTGAGATTATGAAAATACTTATTAATTTACTTATTCATTCAGGAAATAATTATTAAGCACAATTATGACTGCTGCTGTCCCAGGTTCTGGAGCTACAGCAATGGAGAACACCAGGTTCCTGCACCATGGAGCTTCCATTCTATAGGAACATTACCTGCTATGCACTTAAACACCCACACACGTAAGAGATTCACGTAGAGTTCAATGACCTGGCTTCCTTGATCACCCTTTACATAAGGTCATCAGGAAACCCCTCTATGATAAGGTGAAATAGAGCAGTGGTATGAAAGATAAGAGAAAGAGCCAGATAAGGGATAAATAGCACAAAGGTGCTATTTAGAAGAAACATGTACAAAGAGGAAAGAGGAGAATTGAAGATGAGATCAGAAAGAGTGGAGGGCCAGATCATCTACAAAGGGCCTGTAAGCCATTTAAAGCCCTAGAGAGGAAATCATACGGAAGCCTTTCATTACACCATATGTATAATCACTTTCAGTAATCCAATAAGAAAGAACACAGTGTTTAGTCAGGTAAATGCATTTTCTTAATGTTTCCCCTGAAGCAAGAGAAAGCAATCTATATGTGTAGTTTCCATAATTTAATTATAAAAAATAATTTTCTTAATTTAACATGCCACTAGAGTTTAATTTAAACATCATCAACTGTAGGTTTGTAGAGGGGGGATATGAATGAAATGTTTTTCAACAGATTCCTTTCTATTTTGTGGTTTTTGATTTTTTACTTTTAATAAATTTATGTATACACCATTATAAATGTACCTTAAAATATGTAGAGTTGCTGAAAGATTTCAGAAAAATATATTAAATATTATATTATAAGAATTTCTAAATTAGAAACAAATTATTTTGATGAACTAGTGAAGATGCTTATATTTTTCATATTTTTAAAGAATAAATTGCTAATCATAATCATATCTTATGTAAAAGATATGAAAGTTCTTTTTGAACCAATTTAAAAACTGTCTTTAGTTTAACTGTAAATCATATGTATCCAGTGTTAAAGAAACATCCCATCCTTCCCATCACTCAGACACACACATACACACAATGCACTGAGTTCACTTAAGATATAGCTCATTATACACTTTTTGACCATTTTCCAAACAAATCTACACTAATAAAAGAGAAATATGTAAATTGGTCATCATTCTGCTATGCCCACCAGCCAATCAGGATGAGTAAGCAAATTAATCAAACAAAGACGGTGGGTTAATTTGAATATGCAGGCACCGAGCGAAGACTGAAGGCTCCGGCCCGAGCAAAGACTGAAGAGGCTTGGCTTCTCCGCTGTGGCCAGACCAAAGGCCTGGGTCCTGGGTGCTGGAGGAAAACCGGTGCCGGTAGCCAGGGGAAGGAAGGCCTATTGTGTGAATCTTCGTGCAACAGGCCTCTAGTTCTAAAATAAAAATGAGTCTAATCCCTGCATGCCTTAGCAATAGTTAGCAGCGCGAATTTCCTATGTCATGTGAGATTGTTATGTCACTTCTATATTTCAGAATGAGGAGCCCGTGTTTTCTAGAGATGGCAGCAAATTCTTTATGACAGTTCCTGTTAAGCAAGGGGGCCGTGGGGAGTTTCACCACATAGCCATGTTCCTCGTCCAGGTAAGTGCTTCCTCTGTGGTTTGGTTTCATTGAGATCATGTTCATGAAGGCCCATCTCTGGTCGCCATTCTGAACCTACAGTTAATGCCTGGGAGTCCAGCCATAAACCCAACTCGGGCTGCGTTAGGAAAAGGAATGTTAATTCACAACCATAATCCAAGCTGTGCCTTCTCACAAAACAGTTTCAACATTCAACAGAATTTAGCAAGAAACAACGTGTGCTATGAGTTGAGGGTATTTAGAATTTAATAAATGAAAAGTACCTAACTTCTACTTTCAAGGACTATAGAAAATCTAGAGTGTTTTTTTTTGTTTGTTTGTTTGTTTTGTTTTTGGTTTGGTTTGTTTATTCAACAAATACATGTTACCTATTTTGTACAAGCAATACTGTCAAAGGATTATAAAAGTTTTAACTACTTAAAGCAACCTAAATGCCCATCAGAAATTGAATAGTTGAATAAAGTATGGTATACCCACATAAGAAAATATAGTGCAGTTATATTTTTATGGACTCCCTAACTAAAGAGGGGGAATGTTTTGTTTTGTTTTTTCTCTAAACTTCAAGTGAATGTTAATAGTTGATACAGTTTATCTGATTACAAAAAGTCACTGAATTAACAAGTAGTAGTTCAAATATGACAAGATTAATGAGTCAATTTAAATCTAATTGTCAATTATAAATGTTCATGAGAAATCAAGTTTCTTTTAAATTCAAATATATTAATATCACAATCTCATAGTGAAAGAGAAAATTTATAAAGATAAAGTATAGTGTGTAAATTGGAATCTCCTATGAGAGTTGTACAAACTAACTAATCAAGAATCAATTTCATACCTACAAAATATAGAGTAAATATCAATGTGGCAAAAGGCTCTTAAACACACTGAATACTTTTATGTTAGAACCTTCAAGTCTTATGTATATTCTCATCATTTTATCATTATCAATATATATATATTTATTTTGTACAGCTCAGTGCCTTGAATTCTCAAAATCTGTGTCAATAGCTTAAAATTAAACACTTATCTAAGGTCTGCACTATTAAAATAAGTGTCATGTTTTGTGCTAAGCCAGCTCAACCAAGAGTTCCACAGCCTGAATGAGGGCGGTGAGGGAAAAGACAGAGAGAATGAGCTGGGTCTAGGACAGGGGTGGGCAAACTTTTTGACTCGAGGGCCACAGTGGGTTCTTAAACTGGACCGGAGGGCCGGAACAAAAGCATGGATGGAGTGTTTGGGTGAACTAATATAAATTCAAAGTAAACATCATTACATAAAAGGGTACGGTCTTTTTTTTTTATTATTTTTATTCATTTCAAATGGGCCACATCCGGCCCGCGGGCCGTAGTTTGTCCACGGCTGGTCTAGGACCTAGGTGGATCTTCCTGTGCCTGGCTGATCCACAGAGAGAGACCCAGGGGCAAGCTGAGCCTTTATTGTATAGCTGGAGGTAACAAGGTAGTGGTCACCATAGTTACAATGTTCTTGGGAATTTCACTTGTTTTAGCAGTACTTGCTGCATCTCCCTCAGCCCATTAGCTGCCCAGATAAGATCTAGGGAGTGTCATAAGGTCAAGCCTAATTATGCTAAGAGGACTGTGCCCTCTAAGCTGGGACTTGTTTGTAGCTTTGCCAACAGGTCAGTCCGAGGCTTAACCCTATAGCCATGCCCTACAATGTTTTAACTTTAATTTTGATGAAAGCTGTAATAAATAATTAGGAACATATGTAATTTCCATAGTAGAAATGTATATTAATTTTCATAGTATATCATTAAGTTTGAAAAACAGATTGTAGACTGTTTAATGTGATATTTGTATTCTAAATAAATGTACACATTGATAATGAGAATAAAAATTTTGGTGATTCAGTATCTAACTATTAAATGGCTATATGAGTCAGGTGGGATTAAGGAAAGTTTTCCTTCTGTGTTGAACTAAAGGAAGCTTTACTAGCAAATTGCTTTACCTGGTTCACTTTTGCTAACTAATGATGTTTTGCTAATATAACTACCACAGAGATATTTGTCCTGCAAAATAAATCATACTTTCCAAATCTTCCAAATGACTGTGACATTGAATTTTTTAAAAATTTCTTTATTGATTAAGCTATTACATATGTGTCCTTATTCCCCCTTTCTGCCCCCCAGTCTCCCCCACTCTTGCCCTCACCACCCTGTTGGCTGGGTCCATTGGTTAGGCTTATATGCCTGCATACAAGTCCTTTGGTTGATCTCTCCCCTTACCCTCACCCTCTTCTACCTTCCCTCTGAGGTTTGACGGCCTGATCCATGCTTCTCTGTCTCTGGATCTGTTTTTGTTCATCAGTTTATGTTGTTTATTATATTCCATAAATGAGTGAGATCATGTGATATTTATCTTCCTCTGACTGGCTTATTTCACTTAGCACAATGCTCTCCAGGTCCATCCATGCTGTTGCAAATAGTAAGAATTCCTTCTTTTTTACCGCTGCATAGTATTCCATTGTGTAGATGTACCAGTTTCTTAATCCACTCATCTGCCAATGGACACTTAGGCTGTTTCCAAATCTTAACTATGATTAATTGTGCCGCTATGAACATAGGGGTGCATATGTACTTTCTGATTGGTGTTTCTAGTTTCTTGGGATATATTCCTAGAAGTGGGATCACTGGGTCAAATAGGAGTTCCATTTTTAATTTTTTGAGGAAACGCCATACTGTTCTCCACAGTGGCTGCACCAGTCAGCATTCCCACCAGCAGTGCACGAGGGTTCCTTTTTCTCCACATCCTCGCCAGCACTAGTTCTTTGTTGAGTTGTTGATGATAGCCAGTCTGACAGGTGTGAGATGGTACCTCATTGTTGTTTTGATTTGCATCTCTCAGATGATTAGTGACTTTGATCATGTTTTCATATGTCTCTTGGCCTTCCTTCTATTTCTTTCAAGAAGTATCTATTTAGGTCACTGCCCATTTTTTGATTAGGTTGTTTATCTTCCTTTTGTTAAGTTGTATGAATTCCCTGTAAATGTTGGAGATTAAACCCTATCGGTGATAACATTGGCAAATATGTTCTCCCATGCAGTGGGCTTTCTTGTTGTTTTGTTGATGGTTTCTTTTGCTGTGCAAAAGCTTTTTATTTTGATGTAGTCCCATTTGTTTATTTTCACTTTAGTTTCCATTGCCCTAGGAGATGTATTGGTGAAGAAATTGCTTCGGTATATGTCTGAGATATTGCTGCCTGTGGATTTCTCTAGTATTTTTATGGTTTCCTGTCTTATATTTAAGTCCTTTATCCATTTTGAGTTAATTTTTGTGTATGGTGTCGGTTAGTGGTCTAGTTTCCTTTTTTGCATTTATCTGTCCAATTTTCCCAACACAATTTATTAAAAAGACTGTCTTGATTCCATTGTATGTTCATGCTTCCTTTGTCAAATATTAATTGAGCATAGTGGTTTGGGTCGATTTCTGGGTTCTCTATTCTATTCCATTGATCTATATGTCTGTTCTTGTGCCAGTACCAGGCTGTTTTGAGAACAGTGGCTTTGTAATACAGCTTGATACCTGGTATTGAAATCCCACCTACTTTTGTTCTTTCTCAGGATCGCTGCAGCTATTCGGGGTCATTTTTTTTTTTTTTTATTCCAGATGAATTTTTGGAATGTTTGTTCTAGGTCTGTGAAATATGCCATTGGTATTTTAATGGAGAGTGCATTGAATCTTTGGATTGCTTTGGGTAGTATGGACATTTTAGTGATGTTGATTCTACCAATCCATGAACACGGTATGTTCTTCCAACTGTTTATGTCTTCCTCTATCTCTTTTTTCAGTGTCCTGTAGTTTTCCCCACATAGGTCTTTTATCTCCTTAGTCAAGTTTATTCCTAGGTATCTTAATTTTTTTGGTGTGATGGTAAATAGGATTGCTTTTTTAGTCGCTCTTTCTGTAAGTTCACTATTGGTGTATAGCAATGCCATAGATTTCTTGGCATTAATTTTGTATCCTGCTACATTGCCAAATTCATTTATTAAGTCTACTAATTTTTTGATGGAGTCTTTAGGGTTTTCTATGTACAGTATCATGTCATTTGCGAATAAGGACATATTTACTTCTTCATTTCCAATTTGGATGCCTTTTATTTCTTCTTCTTGTCTGATCGCAATGGCTAGTACTTCCAGTACTATGTCAAACAGGAGTGGTGAGAATGGGCATTCCTGTCTTGTTCCTGTTCTTAGGAGAAATGGTTTTAATTTTTGCCCATTGAGTATGATGTTGGCTGTGGGTTTGTCATATATGGCTTTTATTATGTTGAGGTATGATCCTTCTATTTCCACCTTGCTGAGAGTTTTTATCAAGAAAGGGTGTTGGATTTTGTGACATTGAATTTTTAAATCATGGTCTTTTATATTCAAGAAATTGTGAATATCTTAAGATGTAGTCAATGATAGGGAAATATGTATAAGACATCTTTATACTATATGCAGCTCCAAAATATACAACCTATTCAAAAACTTATGATGATAAACAGTATCTTTTAGTCATAACCAGTTTGGCTCAGTGGATAGAGCATCGGCCTGCGGACTGAAAGGCCCCAGGTTCGATTCCGGTCAAGGGCATGTACCTTGGTTGCAGGAACATCCCTAGTAGCGGGTGTGCAGGAGGCAGCTGATTGATGTTTCTCTCTCATTGATGTTTCTGACTCTCTATCCCTCTCCCTTCCTCTCTGTAAAAAACAAAAAAACAAAAAAAATAATTAAATATATTTTTAAAAAAGCAGTATCTTTTAAAAAGTGTGGAATTGGGGGAGGCTGATGATGTTACATGTAGGAATCATTATATTTATGCTGCTAACAGAAGTTTATTTGTAAGTCTTGGGAAGAAATACCTTCAGTCCTCCAATCAAACCATCCTGATGTTCAGTCTAACTCATTATTTCTGAAATGTTCAGAACAACTTCATAGAGCAGATGTGTTTTCTTTATTCTTCTATATGAAGAATATAGCGAAGGTTTCATTGAAGTAA